ATGGAATTCCATTTTCCCACCTAAAAGGCGGGAAAATGTATTCATCAAAAACAAGGAACTTAGGCGCGTGGAGCAGGTGGCAAGAAAATAATTGGCCTAGAAAATTTTGACCATCAAACGAACAAAAACCAAGAAAGTGGAGTTCTTTTTCCATTTTCCATGGAAATTTTGGCTTTTCAAACAGGCCCTAAGATACTATAGTATGCCCTCCTACTATGGCTAAATGATAAGTGTAGTTTTTCCATTTATTCGTAACGCTAAATCATGATATTTTATTATTTTTTGAATTAAATTTTACTTAATTTATGTTAAATTGTATTTTGTAGGTGAAACTTTATGTTTAATGAAAATTGAATAAAAGAATGCAAAATAGCGGAAAAATAGAAAAATCCAAAGTACAGGGACTAAACTATTGGAAGCAAAGTTTGGAGATTGAAGTTCGTACTTTTAGAAGTGAAGGACTTGCTTTGAAGAAAATAATACATTGAATGGCCTCAATTGGACTTTTATTGGATGAATTAAAAGAAAAGAATTTGGGATTGATTAGGACACACACACAGAAGGAAGGGAGAGACGCCGGCGGCCAATTGAAAAAATAAAAAATAGCAGGACATACGTACAAGGAGAACACGCATCGACAGCTTCTGTGGAACAAAAACAGTGGTTGTTTGTCTTTATAAATTGATAAACAAATATATACACAGGAGACAACAAAGAGCAAAACAAACAGTAAATAAATAGAAGAAGAAAAGTCCACAATTACGACTTGAGAATTGAAAAACAGTGGCTGAATTTGAAGAAAACGGATCAGGCAGCAAAGTGGGAAAAAAGGTACAGAAATTATATATTATTTTCACGTACAAAAGGCAACAGATAAGGGATGAATTAAAAGAGATTATATACGCACACATTGGACGGGAGTTGGTGGCTGAAAATTAAGTAATATAACTTCACGTTTCGTCAAATTTTAGTGATGTCTTTTTACTTTTACGTCTTTAAATTCAATATTATAAGTGGTTAAATACTTTTATTGTTAGGATTGTTGTTGTAGCTTAAATTTTTTATTATATATTTAATTGCAATATTTTCATGCAATTTTAATACTTGTTAATTAATTATTGTGTGTTTAATGTTATTAATTTTTTGCGCCACAATTAATTGATGTAGGGATAATATTGAGACCGAGAGGTGATGTATAATTCTAACTCGTGCAATAATTAATATAGACATTATAATAGATCAAGAGATAATTATAGGCTATGCCATCTATGTTGAATTCCTACAGATAAATGTGTTTATATGTATGTGAATTTACATAGAGATATAGTAAGTTCGGGCATATGAATATGATTAGTATTACTCGAGAAAGATCACTAAATACAATATGTTAATTCGATCGTTAGCACGTATGAAAAATGACTGAATAAATTGAAATTAAACGTGAGATAAATAACCCAGGAAAAATCGAAAATCCTAATTATTCAATCACATAATCTTATCTTCAGTTTTAATTTGAGTTTGTTATTTTATTTATTAGAATTTGGTTTAGAAAACAAAACTTGATTTGATCATTAGTTACTATTTTAATTTAAATTGAAGATAGGTTAATTTAAAAATTTAAAGTAGATAATAAATTCACTTTATTACTTGTTACGATCCGCACACTTGCAAAATTTCACAAACAAGTTTCTTTGTTTAGATTTATTTAAATTTTTTTCTTTGTTTTTTGTTTTTTTGTGTTTTTGCTTACATTTTCGTTGCAAGTTTCCTTGCATGCGAAGTTCGAGAGTAAATAATATAGTACCATTTCATCCAGAAATCGAACACACTTTTAACCATAAAATTAGATAACAACGAGAGAATATCACTGCAGAATAAAGCAGAGAAGTGCAACCAGCACGGGTTCAACTACCAGTCGAGATTGATGAAGATGATTTGCCACTTGGACAATTCATCACACACCTTGTTGCACCAAATCAATCAAGTATTGTTTATTCTCCATTTGATAATATCATGGCAGAAAAGAACAGAGAAGGGCGACCGGCAAGGGTTGCACAACTAGTCGAGATTGATGAAGATGATTTGCCACTTGGACAATTCATCACATCACTTGTCGCACCAAATCAATCAAGCATCGTTTATCCTCCATTTGGGCAACTAAACTTTCAACTGAGGACAAACGTCATTTTATTGTTCCAGAATGGAGTATCGTTTTCTGGGAAACCTCGTGAGAATCCATACAACCACATCTCAAGCTTTTTGGACACCTACCAAAATTATAATTTCTATGGAGTATCTGCAGAGCAACCAAGTTGACACTCTTCCCACATACACTAAAAGACGGAGTAAGAGAATGGTTGGACACCTTACCCGCTGGAAGCATTAGGACTTGGAATAATCTCGTACAAAAATTCGTTACAAAATACTTTCCATTGTCAAAAGTAACTAAAATAAGACATGAGATATCCACTTTTTAGTAGGATGAATTAGAGAGTTTTCACGAAACATGAGAAAGGTTTAAATACTTTATCAAGAAGTGTCCTAATTACGGTATTAAGAAAAATTTGCAAGTTCAGTACTTCTACATTGTTTAAACCCAGCATGTCGTATATTGGTGGAGCAGTTTCAAAGGGATCTATCACATTAAAGTCACCAATGAAGTTGAGGAATTATATGAGACGATGACAACCAACAATGCCTTATGATCTTCTGAAAGATCCACACGTAAGAAGCACTTAGGTGTACATGTTGTGAATGCTTTCTCAGCATTATCAGCACAGATGTCAACTTTGGAGAAGAAGGTGATAGATCACTTGACTACGAGAAATACAGCAAAAGCAGTACAATTTTTGGTTTGCAATATATGTGGTAGAACTCACAATAGTAGGGGAATGTCATATGGCATCTCAAGAGACAGAGGAAGTTAACTATGCTCAAAATTATCAACTCCAACACAACAATACATTCAGCAATACATACAACCAGCTTGGCATAATCACCATAACTTCTCCTGAAGCAACGACCAAAATAATCAGCAAAAACCTCTCCCTGGTTTTCAACAGTAAGAGAAAAAATCATCTCTAAAAGATATCTTGGGTAAATTTATACAGAAAATAGACCAGTTTATGGCAAAGATCGAAACAACCTTACAAAATCATTCAACAGCCAAAAAAGGGTTGAAAACTCAAATAGGTCAGTTGGCGCGCACTATCTCTGAAAGACCACAAGGAACTTTGCCTAACAACACAGAAACTAATCCAAGGGAACAGGTGCAAGCAATCACAACACGAAGTGGGGTACAACTGCCTGAAATTACAGTAAAAAAACCAGTAGTAGAGACAAATAAAGTGCCTACTTCAAATGAGGAGCAGGTGGAAGAATCTAAAAAATCAATTGATTGAAGGAAATTCTCGCTAACAAGAGAAAGATGGAGGATTATGAGACCGCGATGCTAACTGGAGAGTGCAGTGTACTTCTACAGAATAAAATGTCTTATAAGCTCAATGATCCATGGAGTTTTATTATACCTTGTACCATAGGAGATAAATATTTTGAACACACTTTATACGATCTGGCGCTAGTATAAATTTAATGTCGTTGTCTGTGTACAGAAAACCAGGGATTGGAGAGGTCAAACCAACCATAATATCATTGCAACTGGTTGATCGCTCCATAAAGCATCCAATGGGGATTACTAAAGATGTCTTGGTGAATGTGGACAAGTTAATTTATCCCGCAGATTTCATCGTATTAGATATGGAAGAAGACCAGAATATTCCAATCATTTTAGGCAGACATTTCCTAGCTACTGGAAGAGTATTGATTGATGTACACAAATGAATGTTGACACTGCGGGTTAATGATGAGAACGTAAATTTCAACATCTATCAAGCGAATAAACCTTCAGAAAAAGCTGACACTTACGACATGATCCAATCAGTCGAAGCAGTTGTAGGTAATAGAGAAAAAATGGATTTATTCTATAACCCTCTAGTGCAGCACATGACTACTAGTTATTCAGCAAGGGATACATCTCTTACTGGTAAGTACTCAAAAACCAATGAAGTAGTTGACTTCCTACTAGTTCACGAAGCCTATCCATCTGACGAAAATGAGAGCTATGTGGAAAAGCCTTGAAAACCTTCAAACAATGTCAAACCAAAAGAGGTTTTGAAGATTCTACCGGAGTTAAAGCCGTCCAATTCTATCGTCATGCTATGGTGAAAAAGAATACAAAGTCAAAGATAAAGTTTAAAAACATGGGAGACATGTCACCTGAAGATCCAACGTATATAATTTGCTTAAGTCAAACTAATGAAGAAGCGCTCCTTGAAAACCCAAGTATTTTTCCTTTTTAT